AGGCCAAAATGAAACCTGGGGCTTTGTTGCACAGTACATGTTAAATCTGCATTATTAAAGTTAGAACATGTTCTGAGCAGTTGCATGGTAATATTTACTATGATCTCCAACATATACAGTTCACTCATTGTTCGTCCCCGTCTCAGCACCGCATAGAAGTCTTGACCCAGGTCCAATATGGTGCGGGGAGCCAGACCGATGATCAGCTGATTGCCAGTCCCTGTGACAAGACTCTGGTGGTCTGTTGGCACATGGCTTTTAGCTTGATCCTGGAGGAATCTGACAAGTGAAAGATTCAGGATCTTATCTTCTGACAAATGTGCCTTTCCTTATTCCACCTGGAGGCTCGGTACAGCAAAAGGGTCTCTGGCTGATGTCATGGCTGGGTGAGGACCGCATAGTGCTCTCATTATCTCCACGGAGCGGTCCAATGATAGCTGAACACACGTTCATTTTAATACAGCCTGGAGATGATCCTCACATGAAAAGTTATAACTTTGCTACAATATGAGTGCACTTATATGTTACTGCTTGAATGCACAGGGTGGGCAAAATCCGGCCTGTGGAGTGATTTTGCCCAGCCCAGGTGGTGCTGGAACACCCTATTCCATGCCAGCCTGCAGTTCACCATGGGATGTCTGCATGTTGGTGGCAGCCCTCAGCCCTGCAGGCTGTCTGTGGGGTGGAGTAGAGTAGCATGGGGGCAGTGGCAGCAGAAGGATCCCTGGTGAGGGCAGTGCATCCAGGGCTGGGGCTGGGACCGGGTCCAGGGCCAGGACTGATCTCCATAGAGACTGTGGAGAGCTGGATTTGAGGTTGGGTCTCCATGGAGACTGGCAACTGGCCTCTGGCCCCAGCTTGGGCCTCAGCTCTGGTCCTGACCCCAGCCCCGGATGTAGCGTCCTCACTGGGGCTCCTGCCACTGCTGCTGCTCACGTGTCACTCTGCCCCCCACTGAGCCATTAGGGCTGAGGGCTGCTGCTGCTATGTGGGCATCCTGGGGTGAGCTGCAGGCTGGCATGGGACAGGGTGCCCCAGTGCCTCCTACCCCTTCTGGCCCCAGCCCGGTCCTGGCTGCTTCAAGTGGTGGGGTGTGGATTCAACACTGGGTCCACCCCTTCCTTCCCCTGCCTACAGGCTTCACACCCCAGGCCAAGGAGGGGATGGCTGAGGGGCAGGTGAGGGAGGCTATGGCCCTCCCGAGCCTCTTCCACAGGGCTCACAGCCCTCCTCTCCCTCTCATGGGTGCTGCAGCCCCCAGCAAGGCCCAGTGGTGGCTTCCAGCTCTGTCCCATCCCCGCGCTGTCTCCATCCCAAGATTCCAGCTCTGGCCCTGGACGTTGCTCCAGGGAGCTGCTAGGGCACGGTGCACAGGTGGGCAGGGAACTGCGTTTGGGCCCGGGACCAAGATCTTGGGCCAGTAACACTGTGGGGCTGGGGCAGGGCAGAGCTGCAACCCGCTCCCTGCACGACCCTGACTGCAGAACCCATGCCCGTTCCCAGGACATTCTGGCAGTGGATCATGGCTCTGACCTGGCCCCGGCCCCACATTGTGACCACCCTGTGACCTTGCCCTGTGATCCCAGCTTTGCTTGCCCCTCCTGCTCCTAAACACTGCTTCTTGGGGCCCCATCCCCCATAGGGAGTTTTGGTGTGTGGGGGGATGCTAACCCAGCCCATGATGCTCACCAAACAGCCTATGTGGCCCTCAGGCCCAAATAAGTGCCTGATTAACTCGCACTAAGTTTAGTGTGCAACAGAGCCCTTAGCAAGGAAACTCACCAAAAATAGAAATTCATCAGAAAGCAGTACTCTCTTCTTTCTTCCAGAAAGCTGAAGTTGTGAATACACTGTTGCTCTAACTAATGAAGGTTATTTGTTCTATTATCTGGGCATTTTAACTAAAACTCACTGGTGCAGTCTAAAATGGGCTACTTTTTCAAAATGGCTATATGAACTATATCAGTTTTATGATGTTTTGATTCCTAATTTGGAAAGAAGATTTTAGATCAAAATCTGGTGAAAGTGCAAAGTTAGGGCAATATTTTTATGTATAAAGCTCTGCTAGAAATGGATTTGAATTTTCAATACCATTTAAGGGCTATAATGTATGAAATCATAGTAATCCTCCACTCTTTGGACAATATTGTGGCTGGTTCATGAAAAATACAAAAAGGAAGTTTCTTGCCAAGGTTTATTGGTCTGATGTGCAAAGAAAGCAGTACTAATTGAAAGGGAGAGGTCAGGCTTTATTTTTAGATGTAGAAAAATAACTTTGATCTTGTTTTGGCAGTGAATACTGAGGAGAAATGAGGCAAGTCATGTGAGCACTGTTCCTCAGTCTCTTTGTCTCCAAAATGGGAATGTTATCAACTCAAGGCAGTTGTAACATGTTATGTAATTACCAGTCTTTGGAGTTAATTTTAATAACTTACACTTGCACTCATCTGATGAGTTATATGCCTGCATCAATATGATCAATGTTGGTGATGAATATTTCTTATTCTTTTTGGCAATTGCCATAACACCCATTTCCTGCTTTATCACTAATACTCAATATGTCCCCTCATTTCATGGCTTGATTATAGTTGTGAAACGGTGCACCAAAGGGGATGTACCTAGGGGTTTGAGAATTAAAAGTTTACATGAACTTTGAGTGAACTACAAATGAAACTGAGCAGTTTTATAGAGTGATTTGTATGCTGCTCAAGAGTCAGAACAATAACATTCAGTGTTCATTAACTACTACATATATATGGAAAACTGTTATGGAAAAACACACGATTTGGAAAAGCAAGTGAATTCATTAGTACTGTTATTGTTATAAGGAGTAGTAAAATCCTAATCAAGTTTTTATGAATGTAAATGGCAAAACTCACATTGCTTTTGTGGGAATAGAATTAAGCATTAAACTCGTTCATGTTAACAGCACGTGTTAGTATCCAGAGCCCGTATTTTCAGGAGTTAGATATTAGCTTTGATTAAAAGTTGCTTTTGGTGGAAATCCAGGATTCAAAGTACTTCTGTTACTGTTTTATAGACCACTTTGAATGTAAATGATAGAGTATAGAATAACTGCCACAAACAAAGTTCTTAGCATGAAGAACTTAGGGTTTAACTCATGAGAAGAAAGAAGACAGAATGATCTTTGGCCATGAGTGTTGCAATTCTTTATAGAATGGGGGGGGGGGGGTTTCAGGACTGACTTCCTAGGAGTGAGTCTTGCACAAAACGAATGAAACCGCCTCTTTATTGAAGGGAATGGCAAAACTTCCATTATTTCCGTATGACTGGGATGGCATCTAACATTATAGGCCATGTGTAGACGAAACGAGAGGCGTGTGCGCACGGCACTTTAAAGCGGGCTAAATGCTTTTGTACTGCTTTAATGGTGTTGGTGTTTGCATGCCTTGGCAGCGTATTGTGCATTAATTCCAGCTGCTGTAGGAAATTCAGCGGCATAATGCACCTTAAACTTGGGGCGCAGCAAACTAAAACACCTTTGAAGAATTTTAGTTTACTGCCCCTACAGCCACGGAGCTAAGCACTAGGCTCTGTGCAGCTCCACGGCTCTGCAGGAAGCCCTGCAGGCAGCCTGGCAGCAGCCTGGGAAAGCAGGCTCCACCCAAGAAAAGCAGTGAGCCTGATCTTCCCCCCCCCCCCCCGGAGCCTACCTGCCTCCCTGAGCTGTGCAGGGCCCTGGTGCTTCCCTCCGCAGCTGCAGTGCCCCCTGGGTGGGTGCCACCTGGAGGGGGGGCGGGGGGGGCCTGCAGCTGCCATGGAGGGAATCATCAGCATCCCTTCCCTGCCAGAGAGGCAGGTAAGTCAGTGGGGTGTGTGCACGACACAGGGTTTTAATCAGCCCTAAATTGAAGCAGTGTTTTTTAAAAACCCACTGCTTCAATTTAGGACCCCTGTTTTGTCTACACACGCCCTTAGTTTTATTATTAACTGTAGTCAGATAGATACCTTCTTTGCCATTTTATTTTTCTGAACTATGCAACATCAGAGCTTAATTTGATAAATTAAAATATAGTAAAACACTAGTCCATAATAAACCAATACTGTATCTTGGAGGGGTGGTATTTTGGAGAATGAAGGGAGAAAAGCAATGTTATTTGATTTATCAAAACAGATACTACTGGCAGAACTGTTTTTTTCAACAAGCAATCATTGTATGAGAATTTAAATGCACTGTGATATACTAGATCTTATGAGCTATCCTGACTGTATTTATGTGTGCATTTGGATAGCATTTTTTTCAAATTGTGACTTCCTTTACAAAATTATAATCTATATAAAAATATAGATGCCTCTTCCTAGTTTCATTAAGTTTAAGACTTGAAGATCATATAGTCTGACATCACCTTTATTACAGGCATCCCCTCTATTATAGGCTATTTAAATTCACCTAGTTACCTGTATATGAAACCCAAAGGCTTTGTGTTAGATGAAACCATTTTACTAAACTTTATGCCACAGGCAGAGAGCAGAAAAGATTATGGTGCTGTCAGTGCCCAAGGTCCTTGCTATCGGATAATCTTAAAGAGGGAACTATACCCCAAACTCAGGGAAGGTGTAGATCTTCCAAGCTGTCTGCCATCCTGGTCTCTTTCAACTTTAAATCTGGCAATCAGTAGGATCCTGAGCACAAAAGCAAGACATGGCAGTCTCCCATCGAAGAAACAGAACTGTCCGTATTACCTCAAAACACTCTACCTAGTTGCCAGAATCGTCAGTTATATAGACGTTCCATAAAAAAGGCTGAAAATGCTTGGCTGGAAAAACAAAATTGAGGTGTCTGTAAAAATAAGAAACTATGAGCTTGATTGAAGACCTGTCATCAAAATGAGGCTGGATGTGAATGTTGATGAATGTTGACAAAACATAGCATCACCACCATGTGGGAGGGAAAATGCAGCTTGGTGCCCTGCAGGAAGCTTTTTGTTTGGGTCCTGTGGCCCATGGGAGCCTCTGTAGCCTCTCTCTCTAGCCATGTGGTACTGCTGTATCCTGTTTGTGGTTGCCTGCCTTTAACAGGTGTTTGCCTTGAAAGTAGGCAAGGCCATGTGTCTCCAGGCAGTCTGAGACACCAAGTGGGGCAGGGAGTGGGATGGTGAGGTCAGGACAGATTTGTGGGCCCAGGAAGGAGGGGACAGGTGGCACGTGGGGGTCAACTGAACATTGAATGTTGCTTGCATGTGGGGAAATGTGTTCACTTTAGAACACTTGATTAAAATGTACTTTCCCAGGTTTCTGGGTAGGGGCTCAATTCACACATAATTGGAGTTAAACCCCTGAATTTGAACCTGGCCTTTATTACTTCCTGTAACAGAGAGCTAGAAGGCTGTTGTTATTCTAAGAGGAAAGAGTACTGGGTTGAGCTTACTTGGAAAAGACTCGCAGCTAGGAAACAAGTTAGTTGTTAATGAAATGGCTGCCAGCAAACAGACCAGTTTGCAAGATGCAGGTAGAGGCTAACTATGGGAAGGTAACTCATCCTGTGGATGGAAGCAGAGCAGTAAAATCTGACAAGGGCAGTCAGTGAGGCAGCCCAGAAACAATTTGCTGACAGGGGAGCTAAGTCCTAGCAGGGGGAACGAGCAGGTCAAAAGGCACAGAGGGGAAAATCCTGTGAGTGCCCACAGAGTCACATGCCTGGATGGGGCCGGGCTTAGGAGACTTAAAACCAGTGCCTGTGGCCAGGCAGGCAGTCTGACCTTGTTAGCTACAGAGTGAAAAGTTCCTGCCCTGGAAAGCTGTAAGGGGAAGTGCTGCTGACTCGTGGAATGTCCTGACAATATCAGTAAGCCACTAAATACTTGCTGCAAGGGGGATCGGACCCAGAGGGGGTGGGGAGCAGGGCTTGTTAGACAGCTAGTTGGCTTGGAGTTTTTTTAGAGCCAGAATGATTATCTGTTTTGTGTGAATTTTAACTGGTGGGCTTGGTTTGGGGCTGTAGAGGAGGTTTGGAGGTCCCAGAGTATCAGGGAGGCACGTGACACTGTGGCTTGCAAGAGCAGGGTGCAAGCTGCAGTGAAGCCTGAGAGGGTGAGACATGGGGCCAGGAGGTAAAGCAAGGGTCAGGGATCTGAAGCCCAGAGAGGGCAGACAGGGCTCAAGAGCCTGCAACCCAGAGAGGTGCAGAGATAAGAGCCCAAGAGGGTGAATGAGGGCTGGAGCCCAAGAAACCAGGGTTGGTGCAGTGGGTCTAGTCCAAAGGGAGCAGGCAGAGCAGAGGGGCAGAGGCTGGGAAGGCTGAGACCCCAAGAAGAGAATGGAAGCCTGGTGGCTTGGGGCAAAGTGCCTACTGAAGTGCTGATTGGGAAACACCTGGGTACAGCTGTAGGGGAGGTTGGGAGGCCGTGAATAGCTCATAAGGTAACAAGTGCTTGTGGGTATGTGTGGGCCAGGAGGCTTATTCAATGGAAAAGATTGTTTGGGAACAGCAGGGTCCAAGAGCGGGGAATCTGTTGACAGAAACAGACCAGGACTCGCTCTAAGACCTATGGCCAGCTTCTCTTTCTACATCAACTAAGAATATCAAGGCATAGCAGGAGAAATAGCAAAAGAGGGGTACCGTAGAACCAAAGTGGGGCAAGAACTGTATGGCCACCTGGGGACCTCATGACCGGCCCTGGGGCATGGGCCTGTTATGCTGCTCTCCAGGGTCTGGCAAAAAAATCACATTTACATTATGTAAAACAAATATCAATAAAAGAAGTTTGCTTGTCACTTAAAAGTTTGCAGACGGTTAGTATAAAAAAGTTTTCTTGGGTTGTTAGTCATGTACTGTGGAAGTTGTTCCTTTCTGGTTCCTGAAGGTGACCACTTGAAGCCTTGAAACTTGAAATTAGGTTATAGTCAGTATTTTAATGCAGAGTTACAGGTGTTCAGAGTTGAGTGTTGTAGGCTATCCTGTTCTCCCACAAAGGAAGGGAATAAATGTGGGACTCATATTCATAAATTCAAATGCCATAGTGGATTCCTACTATCGTTTCACCACCAGCCACCCTTCATCAATCTGTCGGCACAGGCTGTAGAACTTCTCCCAGACAATGAACTAAAGCATACATTTTAAATAGGGATCTTAGCTTGTCTTAAAAGACCATAAAGTTGAATCTGCTATTTCCCCATAAGCTGTTTCCAATATTTAAGAACATAAGAATTGCCATTTACTGGGTCAGACCTTAGGTCCATCTTGTCTAGTGTCTTGTGTCACAGTGGCAGAGAGTAGATGCTGAAAGGGAGAGTGAACTGGGTATGACCAGGGTTTTTTTTCCCCCCTGTTCCTCTCACTTGCAGCCTCCAGCGTTATGGTCTAGGAAGTTCTAATTCGGAGGTGGTATCCCTCGTTCCCATGCTCAATAACTACTGATGTCCCTTTCCTGCTTATATCTTGCATCATGGCTGGATTTGTTTCACTTCAACTTTTGGCATTTATTTCTGGATATGGTTTTGTCAGTAAGATTAAAGAGTTCCCCATGACCTTTTCTCCACATTTACCTCCACACAGTAATCAAGTTACTGTTCAACCTTCTTTTTGATAAATTGAGAAGAATAAACTCCTCATGTCTCTAATAATATGGTGTGTTTCCAGTCTCTAAGATCATTTTGTGGCCCTCTTTTTGAAATTTTTGATGTTTATACATCCAGTAGTGTAACCAAAGGTGGGTGAGAGGCACACCCACTCCAGGCACCAAGTTAGGAGGGACCCCAGAATCACCCTCCATCTCCAAGGGGTTCCCACCTTGGTAGCATCCGTGCCATGAACTCTGAAACAGTTGCTGGCTGCTGTTGCTGTTTAGACCTTCCTGGTGGATAAGGCCCTTCCCTGTCCTTGGAGATCTGTGCCCGACCACCTGGGTTTTAGAATCCATACCCCCTGCCCGGCACCCCCTGCTCAGAACTTCCCCCCAGAACCCGTGGACCATCTTCCCCCGCTGTTCTCAGAACCTGCGTCCCCAACTTTTGGAACCATCTTTCCTTAACTTCCCTGTTCTCTGCTGCTCTCCTGCAGGGTTTGCCCTGGGCACCACCTTGGCCTTGTTATACTACTGGATCCATCCTTCTTGAAGCACGGATACCAGAACGGGACATAGTATTCCAAGAATGATCTTACAGGCTGCTGACAGACGTGAAAAAAAACAAAACAAAATGCATTTTACCAATAGAGGCAGTGCATTGGTTTGACCTGGGTCTGCAGCATGTGCATAGATCATGCATGTTAGTGGGGCTTTTTGACACTATTATCTAAAGCTGATGCAATCAACTATTAGATTAAAGCACCAAAAAAACCTCACTGAAGTGCCCGGTCTATACAGATGTTGGGCAAGCTGGGTCAAACTCAGTTTTATGTAAAGATGCAAGGTGGATTCCCTGCTTCTACTTATTATTCCCCTTCTAGTATACGAAATGTTTTTTTGCCGCAGCATTTCAACGGAGAGCCTACGTTGGGATTATGGTTTATTATGTCTTTCAGCAGCTTTTCTAATTTGCTGCTTTGCAAGAGCATATTCCATCATGTAGGCATAGCTTATGTTCATTATCCCTAGAGATGTTTCCTTGCATTTGGGTGTATTAAAACACATTTGGCTGGATTGTGAGAAGACCCTATAACCTACTGCCCTGGTTATTTACTACCTCACACAAATCTTTGTGTCCCAGGCAAACTTTACCAGCAAAAGTTTTCTATCACTGTCAGGAAAGTTGATAAAAAGATTAAATGGCATCAAAAACCAGTCCTCTGGGAGCCCATTAGAAACAGTCCAGCTCATTGATGTTCCCCCATTAACAACTACATGTTGAGATGTCAGTGAACTGATTTTTAATCCTCCTAATGTGTGCTCTCTTAGTTCCGTATAATACTTGCTTTTAATCAAAATGTCATGTGGTACTAACTGAAATGCCTTGGAGAAATCCAAGCCCACTATATCAGCACAGTTTCCTCTATTGACCAGGCCTGTAATTCTGTCCAAAAAAAGAAGTGGTTTGTTTGACAAGACCCATTCATGAAACCAAGAATGCTGGCTTTACTTATATTTTTAGTTCTACTTTGTTGATAGAACTCTGGATTAACTATTCCATTATTTTAGCTGGGATTGACATCAGACTAAATGTTCTGCAGTTTCTTGGGTCATCCATTTTATAATTAGAAAAACTGTGTTGGCAGCCTTCCAACCCACTGGAGTTTCCCATTTTCCAAGGATTGATTTAAAAAAACCTCAAAGAGTTCTTCAGGTGGTTCCTTTAAGACTCTTTGTAAATTATCTGAATTTGTTGATTTGAAAATGTTTAATCTTACCAGATGCGCTTCACATCCTCCTTTTGCTACAGATATTAAACTTTCTATTCCACCCATACCATTCTGTGGAAGAGATGTACTTCCTCCTGTTTAATTCTCAAATACAACACACAAATACCTGTTAGCTTTTTTGCCTTTTCCATTTCATTACTTATAACTCTACTGTCTGTATCTTGCAGTAGACCTTTACTTGAGCTAGGGTTTTTACTCTTCCAAGTATCTTTAAAAGTATGCTGTCTTATTACTGTAACTATTGTCCATTAATATTCCATTGGTTCCTTTGGCTTCTCTATCAATTGCAGTATAACTTGGTGGCAGGGTGGGGGGAAGGGCCTTAGGGATGCAGTTGGCATCACGCACTTACTAGGGTTGGAATATAGCCAGGACAATCTAGTTAACATCCTGTCTATGACACAGTGCCATGGGTTCTTTAATTGGTTACAGGTGCCCAGGACCTTGGTTTCATTTTTCCTTTGACATACTATACCACACTGCCTGCTACTACTACACAGGGAAATTAACTCGGTGCTATTGTAATAGATAGCCATGTTCACTGATTTATAAACACCACTTTTTAGGGAATCTAGGTGTTTCCATCGAGCAGCTGAGTCATCCTTTCAATTTGGTTTGCTTCATGAAGTGCCGTAGACTTTAAAGAGTCTCAAATGAATTTAAGGATTTGGCCACAGGAATTAGATGACAAGATTTGACAAATGACAGGATTGTAGCAGAAGTTGTAATGGCTGCAGTAACAAGGATTCTGTTAAGTATTCGTTGACACGGAGTAATTGCCTCTTCACAGGCAATTTCTTTTTGAAAGGCGGCACCTAGAGGATTGGCCTGTAGCTTGTTTTAACTGATCATTTATCAAATACATATTCTTAAAAAGACCTCTGGGGCCTCATTCTGCCTACAATCCATGTAGAGAATTTCCTTGCCCATCATGGAGGGTTTGTAAAGCAGTATTTAAAGCCCCCAGAAAGCATATTCATATATCTGATGAATCTATGAGATCATCCCTATGGCTACAGAGATTCCCAGAGACAGTGGAATTGATATACCATTTGCTTTTTAACCAGGCAGCAAAGTCACAGCTTTCTAGGGATTATGTATCATCTTTGTGATGAGGAGTTATATTGGCTGAGGGTTTACTACATGTTGAGGTCATGTTTCGTGTGCTAGAGTGTTGGGTAGATTGGTGACTAGATTGGTACTAATCACTACTGCAATTGTCTACCAGCTGCAGACACCTACGGAAAATAACACAGATGTAAAGGATATGGCTCAAGTTCCCCCAAAGTTCTCCAACTCCAATTTAGGTTGAATTTTGACTTTATTCACTCTGAGGTTAGGAATTGCTACTGTAGCTGTCCCTTATTCAGGAAGTACAGAACAATGCAGTCAGTTTTGCATACTATGTAGAAGCATAGAACTTAGTCATAGAAGAGACTTATTACATCCTTGTGTCATTCTCCTACTAGTTCTCTTCCATATAGTCTTGA